ATCTGGGACCACTGGCTCCTAACTGCTCGCCTGCCTGCCTGCCTGATGCCCCTAATTGCCTCTGCTTGCTGGCCTGATCACCCCCTAACTGCTCCACCCTGCCAGCCTGATTGCCCCCTAACTGCTCCACCCTGCCAGCCTGATTGCCCCCTAACTGTCCACCCATGCTGGCTTGATTGCCCCTCACCGCCTTTGCCTCAGCCCCCGCCACCGTGGCTTTGTCCGGAAGGAAGTTGACCCAGTCTAATTAGCACATTACTCTTTTATTAGTATTGATAATATTCCATTGTATGAACATGCCACATTTTGTTTTTCTATTCACCAGCTAATGGACACTTAGGTTGTTTCCAGTTTTTGGCCATTATGAATAAAGCTGTTAAGAACATTTGTGTGCAAGTCTTCATGTAAGTATTTATGTTTTCATTTCTCTTGAGTAGATATCTAGGAGTAGAATTGCAGGATCATATGGTAAATTTATGTTTATGTTTTAAGAAACTGCCAAACTGTTTTCCAAGGTAGCTTCATCATTTTATATTCCCATCAGCAATATATGAGTTCCTATTTCTTCACATTCTCACCAACAAATGTGACCATCTCCTTTTATTTTAGACAGTTGAGTGAGTGGGAAATGTGTTTTTACTTTGTATTTCCTTAATGACTAATGATGGTGAGAATATGTTCATATTTTGATAATGGAAGAAAAGGAAGCTTCCAACAAAAGTCACTGTAAGAAAGTTTGTGACATTTGGAAACAGAGAACAGCACACTGATGACCAAAAAGCCAAAGTAAGGCATACGTCTCAGGACCTATGTTAGAGTATGCATTTTGGTATTAATTATTCCATATTTCTTCTATGCACACAAAATAGTTATACTTGCTCCAGAAGCCATTAATGAATATGTACTGAGTTGGCTCATTTATATTAATCTTAATGTTTATATTACTTCTGCTATAAATAATTACTTTAGTCCTTTCTAAATAAAAATGTAAAAAATAATAGAAGGTAATCTTGAGAGACTTAATAGTTACTGCAATTTGAAGTATAATATATTTCTTAGCATACTGACAGCCTATAAATTATGAATAAACTAGAGGCCTGGTGCATGAAATTTGTGCACTGGGGGGGGGGGAGGTTGTCCCTCAGCCTGGCCTGTGCCCTCTCACTGTCCAGGAGCCCTCGGGGGATGTCCGACTGCTGGATGAGCTGTCAGTGGGACATCTTTAGCACTGCTGCGGAGGCAGAAAAAAATCTTTCAGAAGGCACTGAGAGAGAACTACAAAATATAGACTCAGGTATACTCTGCATTTTAGGTAAATACTATGTGCTTTCTCTGCCATAAAAGAATGGCAAATTATTAAAATAAAAGCATTTATAAAATAGGAGAAATATTTTCAATTTGTAAACTTTTATCTTTACTCATATACTTGTTCATCATAAATATGATTATTTCTCTAAAACTACCCTCCCTCCAAAATAGAATGTGAATGATTTATGAACTCTACAGGCTTTAAGAATTGTTTTGGTATTAAAAAACTTGCAAATTAAAAGAATGCTAAAGATAAATACAAACTCATTTTATATTTTTGACTTTTAGTAAAAAACAACAGTGAGAATTGAGAGCCGACTTGTGAAAGCCAAGATATTTGTAGTACAGGCTATACATGGGAACATTAAGAATTTAGGTGTCAATATCTTTTAAATAATGTATATAGGCCCTAGTATTTATATTTACATGCTTTAAAATTTGATCAAATAGAAAAATTTGGAATGCTTTCAAAGGTAAAATAAAATGACCACAAGCACTTGTCTTCTGGATTATTAAGAGTTTTTGAAAAGGGCACACTAAAATGATTATTTGGCAGAGAATTACAATTATATATGTTATTTCCTATATGATTTTAAGGATCTTGCTAGGCTAAATAGAGAGTTTCATATTAACCTAGTAAGGTAAAACCTCACTGAGAAACTATTCACAAAAGTAAATTCTAAGGTAACTGGACCTAATGGGCAATTTTTAAGAACATGTCATTTTTTATTTGATAGGTATTGGACAGTTTAAATAATTGTCATGCTTTTGTATCCTTTAAATTTTTTATTGAGATATAATTGACATTAACACATTAGCTTTAGAATATAATGATTTAATATCCTATCTAATAAAAGACAAAAAGGGTAATTGACAGTACCTTTGCTATGCTTCCCATTGGCTAATGAGGGCGATATGCAAATTAAACGCCAACAAAGATGGCGGCCGGCAGCCACGCAGCTGAAGTGAGCAGGAGGTTTGCTTGCTCCAGTGATGGAGGAAGCCAAGGTTCCCCGCCTGAGCTCCAAAAGCAACAAAGTTTCAATTGTAGAAGCTAAACAAACCCCAGATACCTGCTTTCAGC